TAATTTGTGACTGGTCTCGCTTTTTCATCGTCAGTCTTGCTAGAGGTTTGCCCATTTTACTGATCTTTTCAGGAAAGCAGCTTTTGTTTTCACTGATTTCTCTATTTTGTAAATTTCAATTTTTGTTGATTTCTGCTCTTTATTATTTCCTTCCTTCTAGTTGCTTTGGGTTTATTTTGCTCTCCTTTTTCTAGCTTATTCATGTGGGAATTTAGATGATTGATTTGAGACTTTTTCTAATGTAAGTATTTAGTGCTAAAAGTTTCACTCAGTGCAGCTTTAACTGTGCCCCACAAATTTTGATACGTTGTATTTTCATTTTCACTCAGTTCAATGTATTTTTTCCCTTGGATTCTCTTTGACCTGTGGCTTGTTTAGAAGTATTGCTTAAATTCCAAGTGTTTGGAGACTTTTCTTGTTATACTTATGTTATTGATTTCTAGCTTGACTCCAGTGTGATTAGAGAACATACTCTGAATGATTTTGATTCTTTTCATGTTGCTGAGTTTTATTTATGTTCCAGGATATGGTCCACTTTAATTGGATGAAGATGCACGTGTTTAGGAGGGTAATTGGGATGATGACAATGTAGAAACTTTTGTCAGTTTCTGCTTCTCATATTTGCAGCTCTGTTGCTTGGTGTGTATATATTTAGGATTGCTATATCTTCTTGGAAAATTTACCCTTTTTTCATTATATTATGTCCTGTCCCTGGTAATTTTGTTTGTTATGAATACTAATTTATCTGCTATTATGGTAGCCACTGCTACTTGTCTTTAATTAATGATATATCTTTTTTTTTTTTTTTTTGCGGTATGCGGGCCTCTCACTGTTGTGGCCTCTACCGCTGCAGAGCACAGGCTCCGGACGCGCAGGCTCAGCGGCCGTGGCTCATGGGCGCAGCCGCTCCGTGGCATGTGGGATCTTCCCGGACCGGGGCACGAACCCGTGTCCCCTGCATCAGCAGGCGGACTCTCAACCACTGCGCCACCAAGGAAGCCCGACATATCTTTTTTTATCCTTTTACTTCAACTTGAAAGCTGGAGTGAGTTTCTTATAAAGAGCATATGGTTGGGTCATGCATTTTTAATCCACTCAATCAATGTTTGTCTTCATTGGTATATTTAGCCCATTTATATTTAATGTAATTATTGATTTGTTAAGACTTAAACTCCTATTATATCTTTTTGTTCTATTCTATTTTTTTTGTCTGTATTCTTTTCCCTGCATTCCTTTAGGTTATGTTCACCGTTTTTTACAAATGCATTTTGATTTATCTGTATTGTTTTTGAGTGTATCTCTTGATAGCCTTTTTAGTAGTTGGTATAGATAGTACATACATTATATATATATATATATATATATATATATAAAACTATCGCAGTTTACTGGTGTTATCATTTTACCATTTTGAGTGGGGTATAGAAACCTTACCTCCTTTTATGGTTTTCCCCGTTTATTATAATTATTTTAAATATTTCCTCTACGTATATTTAGAAGCATATCAGACAGTGTTATCGTGTTTGCTTTAACTGTCAAACATAATTTAGAAAGCTCCAAAGAAGGAAAACTTATCGTATTTACTCACACCTTTGCTTTTCATGCTCTTTTTCCGTCTTGATGTTCCAAGTTTCTTCTATCATCACCTTTCTATTTAGAGAAGTTCATATAGCAATTCTTTTGGGGTAGGTCTGCTGGCAAAGTATGCTCTCATTTTCATTTATCTGAGAATGTCTTCATTTCCCTGTCATTCCTGAACAATGTTTTCACTAGGTATCCGGATTGGTAGACTTTCAGGATTCTGAATTGACAGCTTTTTGTTTCAGAACTTTCATGTGGCCTCTGTGGTTTCTGATGAGAAATCCTCTGTCATTTGAATTATGTTCCCCTCATAGGTAAGGTGTCATTTCTCTGGCTACTGTTAACGTTTTCTTCTTTGCATATAGTCTTAAGAAGCATAATTATCATGTGCCTTGGAGGAGCTTTGGGTTTATCGCATTTGGGGTGCTCAGCTTCTGGAATTATTAGGTTTATGTCTCTTGCCAAAACTGAGGAATTTTCAGCCATCATTTTTTTGAGTACCTTTTCAACCCTGCTTTCTTTCTCCTCTCCTTCTGGGATTCTGATGACATGAAAATTAGATCTTTTGTTATAGCCCCACAACCCAGAGGCTCTGAGCCCTTTTTTTTCAGACTATCTTCTCTCTATTGTTGAAATTGGGTGATTTCTATTGTTCTCTCTTCCAGGTCACTGATCCTTCTCTCTGTCCCCTCCATCCTTCTATTAAGTGCGTGCAGTGAGCTGTTTATTTTGGTTATTGTATTTTTAAATGATAACATTTTCCCTTTTCTTTTATATTTGTGTCTTTATTGAGGCTTTTCCCGTTGTTTCATTTGTCTCCAGCTCACGAATGTTCACTTAAGTGTTTCTGTCATGGCTGCCTTATAGCCTTTGTGAGATAAGGCTGACATCTCAGGCTTGGTGTGTGCTGACTGTCTTTTTTCCTTCAGTTTGAGGTTTTCTTGGTTTTGGTAAGAGTGGTTTTCTGTTGAAACCTGGGCATTTTTGTATTATGTTATGAGTCTCCAGATCCCATTTAAACTTGTGTTTTAACTGGCTTTCTCTGGCTCTGCTCTGCTGGGGTAGGGGCTCTGTTACTGGCAATGGAGGTCAAAGCCCAGGTTCCCCACCAGGTCTCTGCTGGCACCTGAGGGAGGGTTCTTGTCCTCACTGCTGGGCAGCAGGTAGGTGGGAGTCTGAACTCCCCACACGGTCTCCACTGGTACACCAGGGGGTGGTTACCACCCAGTGGGGAGGCAAGTCCCCCTCCCCACTTGGCTGCTCTGATGACACTGGCAGAGTCACTCTGGCCTCACAAGGGAGGATGCCCAGGCTCCCTCTCGGCCTTTGCGGCCTTTGGTGGGAGTGGAGCTGTACTGTCTGCAATGTGCTAAGTCACTTCTCTCCGGGCCCTCTAACTAGAGAGAGGTAACTTCAGCTGGGCCTCGTTGGCACCAGCGTTGGTGGCTGATTCAGTTCCAAGTCTGAGATCACAGCCCAAGGGAACCCCAGGGGGCCCAGCACCTGTTTCTTGGGTCCCTGGGTCCCTAGCCAGTCTTCTTTCCACACTGCACGGTCTTCCACACGTATAGTTTCCAGGGATTGGCTGGTGGGAAAAGTGTCTTCTCATCTTCCAGGCCCAGACCCTCTCTTCCCAGGGTTTTACCTCCTCTGACTGGCCTTGGAGAGAACTTCAGGGAGGACGTCTAGGCCCCCGGACCTACACATTCCTTTGTTTTTCTATCCAAGTGCCCAGTTCCTGCCTGCTCCCAGGAAAGCTGAGAGATCTGGGCTGGGGCTCAGGGTTCCCCTCACGGCCCGTATAGACCACCTCTATCAGGTGGCCACCTGTTGCAACTGACGCCTCCTCACAGACCTCAGAGTTGGCACAGCTTAGACTTCTGTGCTCTTTAGATAAAAATATTACTGAAGTTCTGTTATTTAAATTGTAAAAATGATTTTTTTTCACAGAAAGTTTTTTGCGCTCGTGATTTTCCCTGTTTCCTGGTGGATGTTGACACGAAGACCATCCCTTAGGGGATGATGTGGTTAAGCCGCGCCCGTTTTCTGAGCGAGCAACGCTGTTAGATGTTGTGCTAATACTGCAGACGTGCTTCCATTCGTGAATACTCCTGGGAATGGACCGACAATAGCCACACACACACATCTCACATGGGGAGTTTTCTACTTGCTTTTGGCAAATGGAACAAACTTGCTTATTATTAAGCACATTGAGTCCTAAAGTTAGGGTAACGGTGCCAGCGGGGCTGGATCTCCCTGCAGGGACCTCTCTCGAAACGTCATGTCGCAAACTGAGCTGCTTGCTGGTTGCCGTGGATGCAGCGGGGGTGGGGGGCGAACTTCCCCACAGCTCCCGCTTTGGATAATGCCATCGGACCTTCTGAGATTCAGAACTATTCCAACTGCTTGAATCTTGCCACTTGTAAATTTAAAAAAAACGTTAGATTTGCATTTGAAAAAATATTCCAGTGTGTTCATGAAGGCAGCTTATGTGTAAGAGCCGTTCTTTTCATTCCACCCAGAAGATGTGTTCTCAGCAAGTTCTGGACCTTCTGGTACCGCACTCACACACACACACAAACAAACAAGCACAGCGGTCCTGATTTGAAGATTTTGGTAATGTGTTTTCGTACAGGGCATAAAAATATATCTCTGTAATTACATGATATTTAGTGATTAGATAATTACGGATAATTGCATGGGGTAGTTCTAAGTGCTAAAGTGTTACCATAAGATCTAAAATGTACAAATTGCATAATAATTATTCTTAGGGGTTATTTGGTAATTCTGAGCATAATTATCATGTGATCTGCAGTGCATGTAATTAATGCACAATCACATGGATTTTGCCTTCATAACTACTTTGCCCTTGTTATAAAGCTCTTTGTCATAACATTTGAGTGTAAATATAATGTAATTGGCTCCCAGATACAGTACATTAAGCCCCGTGATAATTGCTTTCACAGTAACAATAGCCCTTATTTCACTTCAAACGTGTGGCTCTTAAGCAGAGGGCGGGGATGCGAAGAACAAATCTCCAGGGCGTGGAGGCAGAGAGTGGCGCTGAGCGGCGGCCACTAGGCGTGCTTCTGGGTGAGGAACGGCTTTGCTGTGACCAGACCTTTCCAGGTAGACTTTGCATCTTTGACTTGGAGCCTGTCTTCTAACGGCGGCGCACGCCCCTGCCCTGCAGCAGCCGGCCCCTGCATACAGCAGAGCACCCACCGCCTTTCAGGTGGAGGGGCTGCAGAGGGCTGGAATTTCTGGAAGGAGAACATCTCGTAGTAAACTGCGGTGAGCGGGACCTTGCCCGATGCGTGACATTGTGGGAGAACACCTGGAACAGCAGCAGTTACTCAGAGACGGAAACGGGCTCGACTTCCATGTCGTTAATGCAGTTCCTGCAACTCTCCCCGCAGGTCTCACGTGGCAGGATGGCTACACCCAGCACGTGATGGCGCGGGAGCTCGCCAGCCTTCCCCAGACCTCCCCGCGACGCCCGGAGGCCTCCGGCGCAGCCAGGTAAAGTGGGCTTGGTTTACGGCGCCTCGCCGGCGGCCACGCCGGCATCCACCAGCCCTTTTCCTTGTTTCACGCGGCAAAGGACCCTGTCTTTCAGTGTAGACGTTCCAGGAGGGTGGAACGTGTGTTAGGGAGCAGCAGGGACTTCCCCCCACGGGGTCCTGGTCCCGCACCGGGGACGGTCGTAGGAGCGACCCGCCCACAAGGGGCCCGTCCTCACCAGCAGACGTGCCCAAAGGTCCTCCCTGCCTTCCCGAGACCCTCGGAAGCTCTGCATCTTCAGAGCCTTGGTGGAAAGCAGAGAAGTCAGTAATTCTCACTTCCCAGTAAGAATTTATGTCCACTTTAGTACAAAAATCAAATTAAACCGTGAAAGGCGTGCAGTTCCCCAAGCACGGCAGCCCGTGTGAGCTGGATTCATTCCATCTCGTCCTCTCTGCACACGTGCAGAGGTGCAGACGCCTTGCCCACTCGTGCAGGGGGGCGCAGACCCCGGCAGGTGAGGACTCGGCCCACAGACAGAGCGCCGGGCTCGGGCCGCCTCGACCCCGAGCCGGCGTTTATACAGCAGGGAGACGACCTTCCCCCCAGGCTTCGCTTGGAAGTCCACTCTTCCCTCAGAGAGTGAGTTTTCTCTGTCCGTAGCCTCAGTGAAAATAATCTCAGTGACAGAAACATCAGCCGTCTGCCTTTCTGCCCGTGCTGCCGGGCCGAGGAAGCAGCTGAGCCACCAGGTCCTGCAGGAGTAGATGCACCAAACGTGAAAGCACGTTCACCGTGGCGGCTCTCCCTGGCCAGACCGTGAGTTTCTTGAGGGTCGGAGCTGTCCTTTGTCTTTCTTGCTGGTATACTGAGCTGTAACAGGGAGAGTGTGCCACTGTAGGAAAACACAAAAACCAGAGTCAAGCTATCCTGAATTTCCATTTTTATCTGGGTGAGTTCAGACTCTTCACGCTGGTCTTTCAATGCCATTTGGGCATTTCAGCACCGCCCGCCGCTCCTTCCCTCCTGGTGAAGATGTACCTGAGTGGGGTGCACTGTCCCAGACAACCCTGAACTCCACTGAGGAGGCCAAAGGGCAGAGGGATAGGAGAATTGGGCAGACGGAGCAGGAACAACTCTACATAGTCTAGACAGTCAGCAAGTGCGGCGGAAAGGCCAGACTGTGGTCAGGAAAAGAGCATTTCCAGAGAGAAGAGCCCTGAGAGATCAGACACGGTGAGACCGCGGCCAGACACCTGGGTCACCACGTTCTTACCGGCGTTAATATTGTCCTTTAAAATAATTGTCCATTCGTTATGAAAAATGGTTACTTTGCGTTTTTAGATTACAAGTGAGATTAAAAGTTTAAAAATACACATATGTAGAGATTGGAATTCTCTATATGGATTTCCTGTGCATGGCCTTTGTCCATATACAAAGTATTTTTGTATTTTTCTGCTTGGTTTCTTTCTGCACGGTCTTTATATTTAAGGCTAGTAACTCTTCACGTACCATATTTTATAGAAGTGGCTTTCCGGTCTGTTCCGTAGATGGCACGAGGTACAGTTGCCAGCGGAAAGGGAGTTCATAGCCCTCTCGAGGTGGGAGTTCTAATTTCTTCCTTGAGGGTGTTAATTCCCTCCCCCCTCGCCCGCTCTGCCCCACAGAGATGGGCTTCCTGGGCGGCACCAGCAGGTCCTTGGCCTTGGGCTGGGTGGGTTTGGCCGTGGTGCACCCCTGGCTGGGAGGGCGGGAAGGCATCGCACCCAGGGCTCTGCCAAGGTCATGGCTGCTTGGACCCCCGCTGTGACTCATTAACTCCTCCCTCCCATAGACCCAGCCCTTCTCCACCGTTAGCCTATCGGTTCTTTTGGTCCTGCTCTGTCTTTGCGAGCAGTTCCTTTATTAAACTGCCGGAGGTCCCGTTTGGAGATACCGTGTGTCCTGTGGGGCCTCTGCCTGGTGACAGGAATCCTGGTCACCCACCCTATTCTTCCTCAGCTTTTGGCAAAGGTTATAGGATCGTCATGCTACACACGTAATAGTTTTCCTTCTTTTCAAAAACCTGCAAAACTTTTTAGTGTTGAAATTGTCTGCTGCCTGGTATATATTTTTAAATGATCTTTCTTTGTAGGTAAATCTCATAACACTTTCATTGTCTTCTGAGATTATTGGTGAAATATGCTCACAGATTTTACATTTTTGCAGAGAACTATTATCCTTTTCATAGGGATTTCCAAATTTGTTAACTTAGTGTGAGTCACAGTACTGTATTATAATTTAAAAAATCATTCACCATATGTGTAATTATCACACCTTTGCCATTGATTTTTCTCTTTACCCTTTTAACACAATTTTTAAAAATAATTATCTCTTGGACTTTTCTCTTTTTACCATTCCTAGATTTATTGTTTTTATGAAACTTCTTGAGCTGAAAGTTTTGTTCTTAATTTTATTTATTCATTGTTAAAAAGCAATGAAATCACTTAAGGCTATGCATTCGCCTATGAGCGTGGTTTTGGCATCATCCTGTAATGTTGATGGGCTCCTTTGCTTTTGTTCTAAATTATCTGTAATTGTAACTTTATATCCTTTGGGAGCAGTAAGTGTAGGCTCTTTCCTTTGTTTATATTTATGTGCTCTTGTTTTTAGACTTTAAATCAGTGTCTAGTTTTATTGCATTTTAGTTAGAGAATGTGACATGTTCAGTTTTTACTTTTTAGAAATTTGGGGTTCTCTTTGTGGCCTAGTTTATATCACAGTTTTATTAATTTTCAACGGATACTTCAAAAACCTATTGTATCCACTATTTACAGAGTATGGATTTTTATATATAGTTTATAATCATATATAAAATTTATAATTACATATAAATATAAATTATATTACTCAAAATCAAATATCCTTATTTATATTTTTATTTATTGAAATTTCTCAGACAATAACTATTTCCATAAATTTTCCTTCCATTTTTAACATATTTTGCTTTACACACTTTGAGTTCTGATGTTCAGCCCATACGCACTCACAGCATTTCTCCTTCACTGAGGATCATCACACCTGCTGCCGCTTTTTAAATGGAGACTTCATCATCTTTAGTGCTTTTTGTCTTGATCCCACTTTTCTAAAATCGGTATTACCATTCCTGTGTTCTCTCTGTTTTGCTGTCTTAATTGGAATTACAGTTCTGCCCTTTGGAGTCTCTTATTTTGCATGCAGCATTTATAAACGATATCAGGTGGCATTTTTTACAGCCCCTCTGGCCAGAGACCCCTGATCTCTCTGTTTTCTTTCTTTCCCTCTTTGGCCTGTGACTGGTTTACTTTCATCATCTTTAGTGTTTGTAACTATGTATCTTACTTCAAATTCAGTCCGCGGCCATCACCTTTAGGCTTTCCAGGCAGTTTTTGAAGTGACAGGTCTGAGTCACTATTAATGGAGAAATCCCACCTTCGGACCCCCCCACCCCCTTCCCAGCGCATCCCTGGCGCCTGGCACATGCAATGTACAGGTGGGTGTCCAGCCCAGAGCTGTTGACTAAAGAAGGAAGGAAGGAATGAAGGGTCTTGTGACACTTTTGTTTATCATGTGGGTAACCACACTGACCAAGAATCCTGCCTGACCTTCATTCCACAGGGTACTTCCAGAGCTTTCTGTACCCCGTAGATGTGTGAATATCCACAGTCAGCAATCTTGGGACAGGACAGGTGACCTTAAAAGAGATTAAGGAACTGGCCCCAAACCAGTGACACATTCAGGAGGTAGCAGTAAGCTCAGAGTGTGGTGTCAGGATGCCCAGCCCCAGTCCTGGGGGGAGCAGAGCAAGCCTGCCTGAGAGCCTGGAAGAGGCAAAGCCGTGTCGTGGATGCTGCATGAGGGACAGACGCTGGGAGCCTGGGGACACCCTCTGCTGAGGCCCCTGATGGCTAGAACAGATGGGGGTGGGGTGGGCAGCAATGTTATGGAGGACTTGACTGAGCCGTGAATTCTGTTTACGTGAAAAATAAAATGGCACCGAAATGATCATTAGACAAGGTTGGGATTATGGAGAAAGGAGTGAGAACCAGGTCACTGTGTGCTCTTTGCAAAGATTCTGTTTATAATTCGGATTTTTTTTTTCCTGAGCACACTGGATGACAGCTTAAAGCATCCCATGTTATTGGAGCCTGAAGGTCAGTGCAGGGAAGTGGGAAAGGGACCAGTGGAGACTGACGTGTAGGG